GATTTTTTTTAAGAATTATTTATTTACTTATTTAATTAATTAGTTCCATTTTTTTTTTTTTTTTTAATTTGACCAGAGAGAGACTGAGAGAGAGAGAGAGAGAAAGGAAAAGTGAGAAAGTAAGCTGCCAGATCTAGGCCTCGAACCACGGTCGACCACATGGGAATACAGAGCCTCTATCATGCCACCTGCTGGTCCTAGAGAGAGATCTTTGCTATAGGGCACATGTGCTCACTGGAGAGACAGAGAGAGACAGAAAACGAAAAATCGCCCCCGGGGGGATGACCACACTGCAATCCCTTCTCCTCCATTCTCTCCTCAGGATCTTGGGTAAGCACACACACTCACCTGACATGAGTTTTAAGCGGGCTGGTGTAGGACTCCAACAGGGGTCGACTATGTGGGGGTCCAGCAACATAATCATTACTCCATCTGCTGGTCCCAGAGATACATACTCTTTTTTTTTTTTTTGGAGAGGTTTTTGCTATAGGACGCGTGTGCTCGCCAGAAAGACAGAGAGAGACAGAAAGATGGAAAGTGAGAAATCACCCCCCAGGGGGAATGGCCACGCCGCAATCCCTTCTCCTCCATTCTCCTCTTGGGATCTTGGGCACACGGGCACACGCACACATGTGCCCGGCGTGAGTTTAAGCCACTGGGTCCGGGACTCGAACCATAGTCGATTATGCTAACTGCTGGTCCCAAGATACACATTCTTAAACAAAAGTAACTGTTCTAAGATTCCATGTTTACTTTTCTTTTGAAAAAGATAAAGTGTTTATTTTAAAATAATTTTACATTTGCAGAAATTCTGAAAAGATCTTATGAAGAGTTCTTTATATACTCTCCACCCAATTTCACCTAATACTAACATATTGTCTAGCTGCAATTTATTTTTCAAAACTAAGAAACTAAAACAGGTATGTCAGTATTAATTAAACTACGGACTATCTGTATTTCACCGTTTCTTCCATTTCACCAGTTCTTCCTCTCTGATGAAATACAATAATGTGCTTCTGCTCCAGGATCTAAACCATGATAGCACACTGCATTAGTCATCAAAATCTCAGTATCTCTGCCCTGGGATAGTTGCTCAGTCCTTGTTACCAGTAACATTTGACATTTCTGCATAGTACTGTGATGTATTCAGTAGACTGTCTCTCAGTTGGGCTTTTCTGATGTTTTCTCATAACTAGACTTTGGGTTATGGGTTCTGGGGAAGAATGCTGTATACGGTGACATGCTCTTCTCACTATATCCCATCTGGACAGACTTACAGACTTAGCACCAGAGACGTTAACCGAGATTGCTAGGTTAAGGGAATGTCTGCCAGTTTTCTCCACTGTAAAATCACCATTCTTCCCTTCCCATACTTTATATTTTGGAACTGAATCACTAAGTCCAGCTCATGTTCAACGAAACAACAATTAAGCTCCACCTCCTGGAGGACAGTGTATCTACACAAATTTGGAATTTCATAAGGAAGATGTGTCCCTTGCAAATCATGCATTTACAGAAGAATGAACTCATGTATATTTATTTTACACTCTGAGTTATAACCAAAAATGACTGTTACTTATTCCATTACTCTAATTGATTTGGCTCTGACCACTAGATTTTGTCATGTTTTTCCCTGTCAGTATATTTGTTCTCCAGAGAGAGATGGGGAAGGGGAGAAAGCAGCTCACCATGGGGAGCCGTCACGCCACAATCCTTTGTACTCCATTTTCCCCTCTGGCAATTTTAGGCACACGTGCATGCACATGCCTAGTGTGTTTCTCAAGCACCCAGGCCCAAGACTCAAACCACCTGGTCGGCCATAACTTCCAGGCCACAAAGCTACCCAACCACTAGGTTTTCTTTCAGATGGGCTCCTACATCCTTTTGACATACCCCATTTCTCTCTTTTTTTCTGACACTGTAAGATATTCAAGGTCTATCTTGTCTTTCCCTGGTCCAAATCCTACAATCAGCCATCTATCCGAGGAACTCTGTTCCTGCATCTGAAGAAAGAGATGTAGAAACCAAGATCTGGCACTAGATGTGCTTGTGGCTTCTGAGGTGTAAATGCTACTAGGCATCTAGTCTGTGGATTTATTTTTCAATAAGGCATAAATAATACACTATATACCTAATTCATTTTAGTCAAACTGAAATTTTGTCACAATAAAAAGTTAAAAGCAAAGTAAATAAATAATGGTAAAGATTACATTCTATTGAATAAAATAGGAATCCATGAGTCCACACTGGAGTAAAAAAGTTCATGGAAGAATAAATAAGAGAAAGCTTTCCCTATAGTATAATTGCCTATTAAGAAATTCATAGGTAAGGGCCAGCAGGTGATGTAGCAGTTAAGGTGCTGGACTCCCACATGGCTGACCACAGTTTGAGTCCAGGACCCAGTGGCTTGAAACTCACACTAGGGGTGTGTGTGTGTGTGTATGTGTGTGTGTGCCCAACAGTTCAAGAGGAGAATGGAGGAAAAGGGATTGCAGCATGGCCATCCCCCCTGAAGGGTGATTTCTCACTTTCCCTCTCTCTGTCTCTGTCTCTCTCTGACAAACAAACATACCCTATGGCAAAAACTTTAAAGAAAAAAAAAAAAAGAAAAAGAAATTCATAAGTAATTATAGACTTTAAAATTCATGCCAGGTGCATGTGTGTGCATGCCCCAAATCATAAGAGAATGGAGGAGAAGGAACTGCAGCATGGCCAAGCCCCTGGAGAGTATTTCTCGGGCTTTCTGTCTGTCTCTCTGGCAAGTACACGTACCCTATAGCAAAACTCCCTCTTAAAAAAAAAGAAAGGTAATTATAGAATTAGAGAATTACCACTATATGGCAAGAGACATCAGTAAATGCTAAACAAACGGGTGAAAGTTGAATGAAAAACAGGACAGTCTGGAAGTAATACCCTCCCCCCCATATTTACTAATTACTATGAGAAAAGATTAACCTTACATTGGGAAAAACCTTCATGAACATGAGATTACTTGAGTGATCTAAAAACATCACCAGTGACAGGATAAATGAACATCATGTACCACCTGAGGGTGGAAGAGAACAGCAACATTTTTGTAATAAATTACCATCAAAGTTGTGTAACCTGAATGAAATCACGAGGAAACGTCAGGCAAACTCAAACTGAAGGACAATCTCCAAAATAACTAGCCAGTAGTCTTCAAAAACAAATGCATAAAGGTCAAAACAGGACTGGGGAGTAGTTCCAAACTGAAAGAGACTGAAAGGACATGACAGCTAAATGCTACATCTGGATATTTTTGCTACAAAGGATATCGTTAGGACAGTTGATAAAACTTGAATGGGGGGACCAGCAGTTAGCGTAATGGCTATGTCGCTGGACTCCCACATGGTCGACCGCAGTTCGCGTCCCAGACCTGGTGGCTTAAAACTCACGCCGGGTGCGTGTGCGTGCATGCCCAGGATCCCGAGAGGAGAATGGAGGAGAAGGGATTGCAGCGTGACCATCCCCCCTGGGGGGTGATTTCTTGCTTTCTGTCTCTCTGTCTCTCTATCTGTCTGGCGAGCACATGCGCCCTATGGCAAAAAAAAAAAAAAAAATCTTGAATGGGGTCTTATGGCGAAGGGTATGTAGTTCTTTGTACTATTTTTTTTATATAGATTTGGAATTGTTTCAAAATAAAATGGTTTTAAATATTGCTTTGATTTACTGCTATAATGCGAATGTGTCCCCTGAAATTCATATGTTGAAATTTAATGGCCAAGGGGGCCAGCAGGTGGCATGGGGGTTAAGGGCTCTGGACTCCCACATGGCCGACTGCAGTTCGAGTCCTGGACCTGGTGGCTTGGTTTCTCACTTTCCCTCTCTCTCTCCCCCTCTCTGGTCAAATTGGAATCGATAAATCAATGCAAATAAAATAATTCTTTTAAAAAAAGAATTTAATGGCCAATATGAAAATATAAAGAGGTAAGCTCTTAAGGAGGTGATTAAGTCTTGAGGGTAGAGCCCTTGAATGTTATTAGGGTACTTTTTAAAAGAGCTTGAGAGAGACTAGCAGGTGGCATGGTGGTTAAGGCCCTAGACTCCTGTATGGCCAACTGCAATTCAAGTTCCAGATCAGGCAGCTTGTTTTCTCACTTTTGTTCTCTCTCTGGTAAGCACATGTGCCCTATACTATAGCAAATTAAAAATAATAATAAAAAATAAAATTAAATAAATTCTAAAAAAAAAAATAGTTCTCTTAAAGACTTGAAGAATAGGCTCACTCTCTTCTGTTATTTAAGAACACCTAGATAGCAACATCTATGAGAAATGGGCCTTCACCAGACACTAAACCTGCCAGCACATTGGACTTTCTAGTCTCCAGAACTGTGAGAAAATAAATTTCTATTCTTTATAAATTACACTGTCTGACATATTTTGTTATAGCAGCACAAATAAAGTAAGATATTGACTTTATAAAACCTTACATTTTTGTAAGATTAAAGTTTTTTTGATAGTAAATTTATATCATGGATAATTTACCAGATAATATGTGAAAGAGACTAAATGCTATTGACTCATTGGACAAGAGTAAACATTAGTATTAAGTGGAAAATAATGCCTGAATGTGGATGATTTTTACATGTGGTTAGTTCATTAGTGAATATTTCTGCATTACGATGTTACATTTCCTTATACAACATGCACCTGTGAAGCTATTTATCTTTATTATTAACTCACGTATTGTTTCTTTTAATACTCACCATGAACATATAAGTGCTATTACTATTATCCTTTTTTACAGATGATGAAAATGACACTTAATAATGTAAATACTAAGGTCCTGGAACTATGAGTGACAGAAGTCAGAAGATAGAAGTGGCTTTTGAGCACTTAGCCAAATTCTAGAACCTATACTTTAATAATAGCCACGTGTATGTTTATTGATAATAAACAAAAATAACTAGAACCATATGGATGTTTACTGATAGCAATAGAATCGAAAGAGAAACAAGAGGAGCCACTTTAATTCCTACCTGTGTCTGCATCATTGCCCGTTCCACACGCCGAGTGCTTCCTCTCTCAAGTTTTGTCCTGAGGATCAAGGCTGATGTCTGAATGGCCCAGAACTTTGGTTGTGAAAGCAGACACTGGTAGAAGAGAAAAGATGAGATAAGCTGAGTGATTGACCTCTGAATAAAATAAGATCAATTATTTCAAAAACATTAAAATACAGCCCTAATACAGATAGAAAAATGTTCCATGAACAAAGGTAAAATGTTCTTTTCTTCAATTTGTATTACAAAAAATCATTCTAAAATATATGAGAATGTTTTCTAGCCTTGGTTAGGGAATCTCTGAATTTGGTGAAAGTTCTTTCCTGAAACAGCACTTGAAGAAAGACTAGCCTATAATAAAATGTTAAATAGACACATACTAAAATCTAATCCCAGACAAGGCTGACTGCTGTTAATGCAGACAATGTAGTAAAAATGAATACAAATGTAGTGGGAAATAAAGTGAAGGTTTTTGAGCAAGTGAAATTATAGATCTGGTTAAAAAAAAAAGACTGTTTGGTATATTTAACACAATTTCAGTTATCTTCAATAAAGACCTGGAATCCAATACTGTCTCTGGGTGATCATTCATAATCATTTTCAGTAAAGATTATTACAAAGAAAGGGAAAAGATCTGTTTGGAAGCTGATTCCCTCCTTGATCATTTGCTCATTTCTAAAAATCAGGTGGGGAAAACATCCTAGGGAGAGTTCCAGCTAATCAAATCCAGTCCTGAACCCGGGACTTAAAACTCACGCCAGGTGTGTGTGCGTGTGTGCCCAAAATTCTGGGAAGAGAATAGAGGAGAAAGGATGGCGGTATGGCCATTACCACTGAGGGGTGATTTTTGCTTTCTGTCTCTCCAGTGAGCACATATGCCCTACTGTAAAAACAAACTCTCAAAAAAAAAAAGAAAGAAAAAGAAAAAGAAAAAATACTCCCCAGATAATTCTCAAAAGTGGCTAACTTTGAGAACCACTAAGCCAGGCCTGTCAGTGGCATGGTGGTTAAGGTGGCTAGATCCCACGAAGTCAGCTGCACAGTTTGAATCCTAAATTTGGCAACTTGAAAAACACATCAGGTGGGGACAAGCAGTTGGAATAAATGGCTGTGTCACTGAACTCCCATGTAGTCGACCACAGTTGGAATCCCGGACACAGTGACTTGAACTCACATCAGGCACATGTGTGTGTGTGCCTAGCATCCCGAGAGGAGAATGGAGGAGAAGGGATTGCTGTGTGGCCATCCCCCCTGGGAGGTGATTTCTCGCTTTCTGTCTCTCTTTCTCTTTCTGGCAAGTGCACACACCCTATAGCAAAAATCTCTCCAAAGAAAGAGAAAAGACTAGAAAAACACACCAGGAGCATGTGCATGTGCATGCGTGCCCCAAATCCCAAGAGAATGGGAATGGAGAAGAAGAGGCTGTGGAATGGCCATCCCTCTAAAGGATGATTTCTCTCTCTCTCTCTCTCTGGCCACTCCACAATCCCTTCTCCTCCATTTTCCTCTCAGGATTTTGGGTGCACATGCACTCAAGCCACTGGGTCTGGGACTCAAACGCCGTCAGCATGTGAGAATCCAGCACCTTAACCACCATGCCACCTGCTGGTCCTGTACATAGTTTCATAATATATTCATTTTCCATGAACTTTTGAAGACTTCCCCTTCACACACACACATAAATAGCAACCCCCTATTTCATCAAGCTAACAATTACCCACTATATACAACATTTCCTTCATGAAAAGAAGAAAAGTAACAAAGAAAATTTTGTATCATCATCAAAGGGGATCTGGAGTGTTGTTTCTATTGAAAACAAATTTCCTTTTTATTCTTATCACTGTGATTTTAAATAATCCTCTTCCAAAGGTCACCAGGATCCCTTTCTATGACAGATAACCAGTCTCCGTCTTTAAACATTTAATAGCTTTCAGATAGCTGCTTTTTCCACATATAAATCACAACCAGTTCAGAGGTCTCTTGTGGGTGTATAATTGTTTGGCAATGCTAAAGCCAGATTGGAGGATGCCCACCCAGGTCAGGCTGACCATACAAAGCAAAGGACAAAGAAATACTATAAAAAGCAGAACTATTCTTCTTTTTAATGATTTACTTAAAAGGGCATTCTTTCTTCTTTTAGATTTAATTTCATGTATTATTATTATTTAATTTGCTATAAGGAATGTGCACTCATGAGAGAAAGAGAGTGAGAAAGCAAGCCACCAGATCTGAGACGTTAACCTCAGTCTTACAGGCATGATTTCTGTTTGTTTGTTTGTTTTTGACAGAGAGACACAGGGAAAGGAAAGGTGAGAAATCGCCATCTGGGTATGCCACAATCCTTTCTTTCTCCCCTATTCTGGGTACACATGCACAAGCACCTGGAGTGGTTTTCAAGCCACCAGAGGAAAGACTCTAATGGCACAGTGGACCATGTGGGACCCAGTGCCTTAACCACACTGCCACCTGCTGGCCCAGAGACCTTTACATTCTTGTTTCTGTTAAATATTATTTCCCTGAGTCCAGCCCACCCACCCCCTATATCCACTCCTTTCCTATACTGCCTCTGTTATCTACACTTGCCCTCTGTGCTATTGTATACATGTTTTTTTTTTCTTTTTTTGGAGAGATTTTTCGCTATAGGGCGCGTGCACTTGCTGGAAAGACAGAGAGACAGAGAAACAGAAAGCAAGAAATCACCCCCCGGGGGGATGGCCATGCCACAATCCCTTCTCCTCTATTCTCCTCTTGGGATCTTGGGCATGCACGCACACTCACCCAGTATGAGTTTAAGCCACCGGGTCCAGGACTCGAACCACGGTCGACTACATGGGAGTCCAGCGACACAGCCATTACGCTAACTGTTGGTCCCTGTACACATGTTTTTACATGATATTTCACTATGTTGCAATTTTCCTGCCTCAGCTCTATAGTAATGGGGACTACAAGCACATACCACCATGGCTGAGTGGTAGTGTTATCTAATGCTTGCTATTGCAGGTGGGTCTATCCGAATACATTTTGGGTTGCTATTTTAATTTCCTATTAGATTTTTAGATGACTTTGTATTTTTTAAAAGATCATTCTAAAACAACAGTATCTTTAATTTTTCACCGTCTACTGAGAATTAATAGTATAATCCTTATTAAATGTAGCGAGTGCGCCAGATGGCGGTAGAGTAATAAAAGTGATGCTCTGGGATGCAGACCCACAAGAGTTGCTGGTTCACCTCCAGAAATCTTCAAGAGTATGCCAAGGATATGCGGGCTTCTGACCCAGGGCTGGTTGAAGTGGGGGAGGTTCATGGGAGTATTGTCTGTCTTTCTCTCTCATGAAATTCATGAAATAAACAAACAAACTGAAATGAATTGCAGAAACAATACAATGATACGGGTTCAATAACTCACCTTTGCATGCTTTTTATATAGTGTAGAAAATACCAAAAGATAATTTTATTTAGTTAGAAACCTGAATTTTAACAGCACTGTGAGGAAAAGGAGACTCTCTTACATTATCTAGGTATTTACCATTTGTTCTTTATCTCTGAGCATCAGAGGTTCCATATGGAATTATTTCACCTTGGTCTGAAGAATTTTTTATAGTATAGGTCTGGTGACAAATTCTCTTAGTTTTTATTTTATCTGAAAATAATTTTATTTGGCCATAATTTCTTTTTAAAGAAATTTAAATTTCTTTTTTAAATTTTATTTATTCTTTTTTTTTTTTTTAATTTGACCAGAACGAGACCAAGAGAGAGAGAGACAGTCAGACAGAGAGAGAAAAATGAGAAAGCAAGCCACCAAATCCAGGACTCAAACCATGGTCAGCCAGGTGGGAGTATCTAGCACCTTAACTACCACGCCACCTGCTGGTCTCTTGGCCATAATTCTTTAAAGGGGTTTTTACTAAATACAAAATTCTGAATTAACACACTTTTCTTTCAGCACTTCAAAAATGGTGTTTTACTATCTTCTGATCATCACAGTTTCTGATGAGAAGTTGAAAGACTTTCCAATCACTGCTCTCCTGATTTTTCTCTACTATCAAGACATTCTCTTTTATGCTCTATTTTCACCAGGTTGACTATCACATGTACAGGTATGGTTTTGCTTTATCTTGCTTAGGTCTTACGGTGCTTTTTCCTCTATACTGTGAGATACTACTTTATTATTATTATTATGTTATAACTTTTAATTGGTATGTAATAGTTGTGTTCAGAGGGGTTCAGTGTGATTTTCAATACATGAATACAAACATATCCAGTATCTCACATATCTGTCATTACTTTGTCTTACAAACATTCAAAATCCTTTCTTATAGCTGTTATAAAACATATATTAAATTGATATTAACTACAGTTAGTCTAGTGAATATAGCACTCTAGAACTCATTCCTCTTTTTTAAAATTTTTTAAAAAGTTATGGGGCTGGCAGGTGGAGTAGTGGTTAAGGTGCTGGACTCCACATGGCAGACCACGGTTCAAGTCCCAGACCTAGTGGTTTGCTTCCTCACTTCCCCTTTCTCTCTCTGTCCCTCTCTGGTCAAACTTTTTAAAAAAAATAATAAAGTAAAAATAAATCGTTCTTTAAAAATGTTTAAATTATTATTATTTTTTAAATGTGCTATAGGGCACATGCACTCACCAGAGAGAGGGAGAGAGAAAAAAAAAGAAAGAGAGAAGGAAAGTGAGAAAGCAAGTCACCAGATCAGGGATTTGAACCATGGTCAGTCATATAGGAGTCAAGCACCTCAACCACCATGCCACCTACTGGCCCCAAACTCATTCTTCTTACCTAACTGCAATTTTCTATCTATTACTCAAGGTCTCCCTATATTGCCTCCCCTATCCATTCCACTTTCTGGTATCCATATTCTAGTCTCCACTTCTATGCCATTGTGAGGCACTTCTAAAGTAATTAACTCTAGTTACACAAACTATCAGAAGTCCCATTACTAAATTCACAAAGTTATAATGCTTAACTTAATAAGTTAAAATTAGAGATGAATATTGCCTAAGACAGATAATCACTTTAATCTGTAAAAATGGTTAACAAACTATTTTATGTTCATAAATAAGTATTTACTAAATCACT